TAGTAGAGACGGGGTTTCACCATGTTGACCAGGATGGTCTCGATCTCTTGACCTCGTGATCCACCCGCCTCGGCCTCCCAAAGTGCTGGGATTACAAAGTGCTGGGATTGAGCCACCGCGCCCGGCCCTTCTGTATTTCTTCTTGAGTCAATGTTCCATTACACACTGGGCATTATAAATAAAACACTGTAGAAACTATGGATTCAGTTACCTTCCCCTGAAGTTACATCATTAGTTGATTATCATGAGGATTGGTTTTATACTATACCTATACCTAAACAAAAACTATAGTGATTTGTTTATACTCTATTATTAATCCTAGAACACAGTCTTTACTCCTGAGCCATCAACCTTTTGAGATTCTGATGAAAATTTTGAAGTATTTGCTAAGCCGTCTAAGTAAAATTCCAAATTCTGTCTCCTTTGAGGGGGACAGAAACTGATGTCTCTGCTCATCTTTTTAAAGTTTTCAGTTAATACTTTTCACTAGCCCCTTTGGAGGTCCCTCTTACATGACATTTAAGAGTCAGCTAAAGATTTCAGAGGAGTTCACATGCAGACTGAAGGACTACTCTTTATACCTCAATGTCTAGCCTCTCTGGTAGCCCTAAACTCCATCCTTTGACATCTCAAGCCAATAAAGCTGTAAGTTTCTGCTTGCATTTTAGTGACATCTTATGCTGACTAGACTGGGAATGCTTTCAAGAGGAAAAGCTGTATAAAAATAAATCTAACCATAAAAATTCTGAAACACGCCAGGTGCAGTGGCTCATGCCTGTAATTCTAGCATGTGGAGGCTGAGGCGGGGGATCACCTGAGGTTGGGAGTTCGAGACCACCCTGACCAACATAGAGAAACCCCGTCTCTACTAAAAATACAAAATTAGCTGGGCGGCATAGTGGCACATGCCTGTAATCCCAGCTACTCAGGAGGCTGAGGCAGGAGAATTGCTTGAACCTGGGAGGCGGAGGTTGTGTTGAGCAGAGATTGCACCATTGTACTCCAGCCTGGGCAATAAGAGCAAAACTCTGTCTCTAAAAAAGACAAATAAAAATAAATAAATCTTAGCCAGCATGTCTCCTTTCTTTCAAGGGTCAAATTCTTTAGAAAACTGTTTTACATATTCTACCCAAAGTTTATAATTGCCATCTATGAGTTAGTCTAATACAAGCTTCTCTACCATTACCAGTAGTCTCTTTTTTTTTTT